GTGAAGTACAGGCTTCGTTCCACGAAGGATGTAACGAAAAACTGGAACAAAACGAACGAGAACTTACAGACAAGATCGCTTCGCAAAAGCTGGCGCTATTTCGTCTAGAATACTAGCCAGATGCCTGTAGGATGGATCTTCACCCAGTCCTGGCCCTCGATATGTTGGATTATCTGTATCCGGATTTTTCCAAGATTCGAAAGGGCTACAGCCGTAAAGAAAGATGTTCTTCATTCGTGAATGTCCATGAAAATCGATGAATATCTGAAGAGAAATAGGAAGAGAGAGAGAGAGAGAGAGAGAGACAGTGGATCGAATACGCGTTTATAGTAAGATTAAAAGGAGGTCCTTCGAAGTGAGTACGTACATTACATGGTTTAAGAGAAAATAGCCCTTTTATATTCAATCATTTGCAACCGATTTTGAATCAATTCGCTACGTGTCGAAAGCCTCGCGATTATCCATACCCACACCCCTATCCATGATAGTTTTTTTCCGCGTCGTTCACTATTGGGTAGGTTCGTTTAAGCAGAACAAGCTCTTGTCTGAAAGCTGTTTGACTGTTTGTCTTAGAGTAGTGTTTGGTCTACACGGCAAAAATCCGTTGCAAACGGTACACTATCGCTTGGTGTTTGCCTAGCGATTTTCAAGATACTTTATATCATGCATAGTTTCGCCTTGTTGAATTTGCATGACTGGGCAACTGAGGTTAGGTGCAGAGTTCTAGGTAATCAAAATCGTCCAATGGAACAGGTGGTCGACCTCCATGAATTACGTTGGCTGGGGTATGTGCTGCGCAAGGCACCTAACAGATTACCACGGTGTGTGCTGTTTGCCGAGGCAGATGATGGGTGGAGAAAAGTAAAGAGTTGTCTAACTAAGATCTGGTATTAAAGTATGAAATCTCTTACCAATAGACTGGGTCGCATGGACTGCGTTCGCCTTCTGAATGGGGATCCTCGGATCATGATAACCGGTGGTTACAGACGCGGAGTGATATGGTTTTGTCGCAAACCGCACTGCTCGTGCATCTAATCTGTATTCGTGCAACCCCAGCATTCCAATGTTCATTCTGCTCCCTTATCCAAAGCGACCAAAACGAAAGTTCATGGTTAATGGTTGTAAAACTGAAACTGAACTGGGCCTTATCGAATTGCGTTATGATTCATGTTCTAACAAAACAACCAACAGGAAGGACTCTCTCTCTAGAGCATGAAAAAGCGAATAAAACCGGTTTTTAAAGATCCTAATATAGTCATGAAAAACTCCAAAAGACCCGTACAGCAGATCCAAATGGACAACTTATTTTCAGTCAATCCATATGACTCCACAGCACGTAGACTGCATGGGACGTATGCGACAATGAGGAAGGGGCAATAAGTTGTTCCATATTTCAAGTAGATAAATCCTGATGCACAAGGGGAAGTATAGGGTGACATCAACCCCCAACCCTAACACACACACACACATACACACATCCGCTCAAAAAAGCAACAGACACTAAGCAACCAAGCTATCAGATAGAATGAATCGGAAACTGAACACACAAACACACACAGACACGGGAGTGAAGCAGACGCGAATGCACAATTGAATGGAACAAGGAACTCACAAACGGAGACCGATCACAGGCGTGAAGCAAGTGTAAAAGTTTCTTCGTGTGATAAATTGTCGGATGATTGAACAGGGATGGATTGCTCCATCGTCTATTCAAATCTTTCCCGGCCATGGAACAACGATGACTGCATGAGATGAAAATATAGAATTGGAAAAGACGCATAAGATATACTGGTATGAAGCCAATTGATCAATAGCAATGGGTGATCATAGATAAAACTGATCCAGTGTGGAATGCATGGATAATAAGGTGACTGGTTCATAGAACAAAGCCTCAGTTTACAAAATAGAAAATCTGAGTTATTCGCGCTAAATTGTTATTGTCCACAATTATTGGTGATCATTCGCCAAGGCCGGAAGATTACATAAGCCCATGAGTGACAGATTCCAGATCGAGGGAGGAAACCACTAAAGGTAGGGAGTTACACAGGAGCCTCCACCAACTCATTCGTCGACAAAAAACCGGAGGACCAAACCATCTTATTGAGGCTATGCACAGTATTGAAGCCACTGAAAATCCCCCGGTGGTTTCATGATATCAGCTGGATTGCTTCATCGATTGCTACATTTTTCTTCCTGGTCTATCGTAGTAGTTTTCCAGGCCAGGGAAAATAGGCCATCCTCAAACTCGAAAGTTCCACGGAATCTACCTCGTTGTCGTACAGAGAAATACTGTGAAGTGAACTTCACTGATCGCTGCCAAATTCGCAATGCATACTACATTAGTGATAATACGTAAGGTAAACAGGGATGGGACCTATTTTGAGGGAGAAGAAGGTGAATTTCTATGGTCAACGCACAAAGTGCACAATCTAACTGTGTACGCATACCGTTTCAAGTATTCTGGCCTGATAAGAAATGACAACAAGAACGCCACTATTGTCGGTTATCTACCATACTCTTCAGCGTTTCCCGCGAACTGGTTGCGGATTCTTTCGGACCCTAACCTGAAAAGCGCGAGACACCTACTCCCATCCTACGCAACCTTGAAGGCAATGAGAATCATCCATCTTGTCGGGTATATCGTTTAAACGTAAGGGAATACTAATCTCGTTCGCTCGTCACTCTTATGCAACCGGCAACGTTCATGCACATATTTCACCGGATACGCAACAAAGAGTTTCACCACGTTAGGCACTATGGCTTACTGGCACAACCGAACAAGGTAGCCAATTGATTGATGATTCTACACTCGAGAGAATATTTCACCCTCGATCTCAATCGCCTGATCGAAGGAGGAATTCCTCAAGGTCAAACGTTGACCTATCATCTCATCTGTTCTAGAAATCGTTTCATTTCGATGAGCATATAGTTTACATTTGTGCTTTAACTCCGATCGATCGAAATCGCTCCGAAAGATGCATGCAGCAGGTTCAAGATCGGCTAATAAATTACCGATCTGGATGGCAAATTACCTTAAGAAAACGGACCACTGAAAAAATGAATGGTTCATCAAAAATGTCTAGGAATGCCGCTACATTTTCAGACAAACTCGACGTTACTAGCCCTACCCTACCTAATCCGTTTGTATTAGTTCAGTTCAGTTCTTACAACCATTAACTACGCACTTTCGTGCGCCAGTTCTGGTTGCTTTCTTTTGGTTGCCCATTTGGATAAAATAGCAGAATGCTGATTAGAATGTTGAGAGCAGATTTAAACATACATAAATTGTGAATTTATTCCGCTCCATGAAACCTGGTTCCACTCTGATCCAGACAATAATGCTGTCCTAATCGACTGTGGTGGGCTTTTTGGGAATGATCGTGAACGCCGAAGCAAAAATTCAGACCAATCAGTCGACTTCACCGAAACACAATTCTGGGACAATCGCCTCTACTGTTCGGGTTAAACATTATGACCTTGGCTGATACTTCTGAATCTGCTCACCTTGTGCTACGCGGCTTAAAAACTAGCTATGTGTTTACAGAGTGACTTTATTCATTTCGATACATCAGTTTTTGCATATTCAAGTGGTATTGTCCACGTCCCAACAATAAATCAGGAACGTTCCCCAAAACGATGACTGACTAACCTACGCCTCTTGTTTAAAGTTACTTGTTCGTTACTATCGATTTCATCGACCCGCTACAAATATATCCATTAGTATGGTTCTCGTTCGCTCCCGGTCGTTGTGTGTTCTGTTTTCTCGCCATTGACGATAGCGGTATGTTGTGAATGGGGTCCGCGCGGTGAGTAATCGATTTCACCCGCTTCATTACACTACAACCATTTTTACGCCAAGGACCAGGTTATCGAGTGTGTGATCAAATAATGATAACCAACAGCGGTGACAGTAAGGCCAGTTCCATTTAACTTAGTTTCCTCCAGTTCATCCCTTTGTGAAAATAACGCTAACCCCTGCATTCCAGTAAAGCATGCCTTTTAAGATACCGTAATGTGTCCCATATCCCTAAATCTGTTGTCGTAACATGCTGATTCACTTTATTTGTATTCTGGGAACAACAATGAACATTCCCTGGTTCTGGATGCAAATCTGAATGGGTTTCAATAACCTCGTTACCCTCAACCGGAATGGCATAATTTGCGCTGAAGTATGCAATTGCAGGTGTAATTAAAACCTCAAAGAGACGGAAAGAAAAAATTGAATCCCAAAATGTTTCACAATATCTGTTCATTGTTAACTAGACTAAACGCTAAAGAGATTACCATGGAATTAGGATATATGTTTAATCGAGAAGGAATACAACGGTACTGGGATATAGTTGATGCATGGGAACAACAGAAAGTTAAATCTGTGTGTGTGCGGAGTTGATGATAATTTTACGTGCAAACGTTTCACATGCATTCAAATGACATTGGCGCAGCTTAGTGACCAACTCCTCCTCAAGCGGGATTGAAAAGACGCGGCTAATGCTGGTCAGTACAAGTAGAACCAATTGAAAATCTTTCTTTACGAGATTGGAAAAAATAAAACGTAAACAAGAAATTAAAACGGGGAAAACAGTGTGCTACACAAAATTTGTAAGTGATTGCTTGTTGAATACGAAACTGACGAAGTTTGCGGATGTGAAACGCTGTCAGAGTTTACTGACGACTTGTTGAATGTGAGAGATCCGATAAACATTAGCATTGATGAAAAACGCCCGATATTTATTACGGCTCCGGGACACCGGCTCCCAATGAATTGGGGTTTACACACCGCCCCGCTGCCTCGTGGGTCACACTTCGGTTGTGGATTCCTCAAAAACATTCACCCTCCTTGGCCCGGATAACCCGGTAGTATTTCGCCCAAATGCAAATCATGCAATATTTTCTTTTCCATTAAGTTTATTGTACTATGACTTGTTTGGCACACAGTCTGGCCTCAGGCGGGTGTGAAATATAATAATGATGTAACATTAATACGGCTCATACGGAAAACTCGTTTGGAATCAATCGATACCGGTTCATATGGGAAAGAAGAAAGTGATAACCTACAAAAACACTGGAACCATTTAGAGGGATGAAGAGAGAGACCGGATGTGGCGGAAAATTGATGAACGTTTTCCAATTTGTCAGAACATTTTGAAAGACCAGAACAATTGGAGATGGCCTGACATGAAATCACATCGTCAGCGTATTTGAACAGAAGAATAGGGGCATTTGCAAACAAATCCCAAATATGCGTAGAAAATCAGTATGCAGAAAGGAACGCACACAACATATGCATTTTGCAGGGTTATTCCAGGATCTGGTATTTTTATGCGCAAATGAACAAACTGCATCTAGCTTGCATCCGTTTGGTTGATTGGCAAACTAATGAGGATCATGTGGGATATAATGCGAGGATTGAAAGTGTGTAAGGACAACACATTCTGCTAGTTTAGGATCAACAGAAGTTAAAGTGATAGAACGGAAGCGTTTGGTAAGAACGGTCGAAGTAAAGGGTTTTGGGGTGGGACAAATTGTTACCCTTTTCCAGGAGTCCGGTATGGAGCGGGTTTTGAAGGCATTGTTTAAAAATGATGCCAATAGTTCACTGAGAGAATAGGTCTCATATCTCACAAGGAGAGAGGTTAGACTATCGGGACCAACACGATAGGTGATTTTCACGGTACTCAAAAGTTTCTTCTTTCGATACGGCCTCGACTGGAACGGCATAATCCAGAACAAACGGCACGGTGGCATTGCTTGATGCGTGGGCAAATGCTGCATTGGCATTGTATAAAGCCGTTGCACAATCCGGAGTTTTGGCTTTGGTCGCCAAATTATTACATTGCAGAAGTGAGCAGTCGAAAAACTTTACGCAATCGACATTAACAATAACCGACACAAAAACAAACGCTCGGCGAGGTCAGACTTACTTGCCACAAATCACACCATCCGGATTCAGCATGGGCACGATTTTGAAGATAAATTGCTGGCGTGCCTGAACTGCGCTGGGATGATCCGAGAGCAGATGATCAAGCAATCCCTGGATCACCCAACTCGAGTTCGCCTCGCCCGAGTGAACGCGTGCGGTGAGAAAAATATACGGACGGTATTGGGGTTTCGCGGTGGTCACACTATCCGGTGAGGCCTGTTGTCGGGATTCTTCATTAGCTAACAGGACAGGGAAACAAAGCGAGTGAAGGATAATAAATAATGAAGTTGTACTCCGCAGAATTCGAGGAGGTTTGAGTTTGGTGTTTATCAAACAATCTAGAACCCTGATCACCCATGTGGTTCATTGTTCCCTCTGTCGTCCAACACCCACCTCAGCGGGGACTCAGCCAAATAAGTGCCCCCGAACTGTTGACTAGAAAATACCGATGTCATTGATTTGCTCTCAGAGTGTGCATGCAGTATTTGGAATTCTCTACCCCGTCACGTTTTTTCTGTACCCACAAGTGCTTATTTCAAGCAAATTTTGCCATTCGTAACAGTACACAAAACAGAAAATTTTCTTCACACTAACCTTGTTTGCAAAATTGGGTGATTTTTTGATAGACATCTCTTTCAGAGCCAGTCCATTAAAGATTGAATGACATGATTCAATGATTTTTAGGTGGATTAGATGCTACTAATCGCGCAACCAACGTGACTTGATCGTCTTTATAAAATATTTCATAATCAGCAGCATGTCAATAACTGGACAAAATTTCCATGAAAGCACACGACATTCTTCATCTTTTTTATGACTCGTGCATTGATCTATTTGTGCGAAAAACCATATTGGACAAGAAAAGCAACTGCTTGTGTAAGTTTTTCCCATAATAAGACGTTGACTTAATAAAAAAAGAGAGAGATGATGCGACCATGTGCACAGTCGCCACGATCGTAGTCTATGTATTTTGGCTATCCAGTTTTGTACAGTTTACTGCGTCCGGAATCAACACGGATGCGTTTCTAATAGTTTCAAAACAACTGACATACCGAGAGTGACTGTTAAAAAGGGTTTAAGTAATGAGAAGTGATGAGAACAATGGGCTTTTTTGAAACCTCCAACGGCGAATACGTGACAGAACTGTGTGTGTGGCACATGTTCGTGCTCTCCGTTCACATTTGTGTGTGTCTGTAGGCAGAATTACCTGCCGTTAATCGGAATTGACTCACAACCCGGAAAACCCGGAGCCAATAGAACCAATAGTCCAATGGCGAACTATCGTATATCTGGGGTTATCAATACCTTGATTGACGTGATACAACTGATAAGCGTGCACAAAATCAACAACGACTGTTGACTGAGCACAGGGTGTTCAAGCATCAGGAAAGACATTGATGAGAAGGTAAATAATGCACTGAGTTAGGATGCGAGTAGTAATGGTTCGGAGCGGATGGGCACATTGAGGTAACATGAATCGAAAAGCTCCATCGGATGATTATCTTCACAGAGAGAGAGAGAGAGTATTCGTGTTACCACACTCTAGCTACACGAGTATTTAGTTGAACTCAGACATCCTCGTGTATTAGTCCATTGCAGAACGATGCGTGGACCACGAGCGTAGGGTTTGTCCGTAAAAGTTGAAAGGGGACAGGGGCTTGGGCGATCAAAACCGAACCAACTAGAACGTCAAGTGAGACATCTGAAACAGTTTGACATGCTTCTGCATAGGTTCGACATAATCATGAGAGAAATAACCGAACAACGATATCGGTGTTGCGTGATCGGGAAATGTTCAGAGCAGACGCAAAAGCATGCAACCAGTTACTCAACAATCATCATTGGTCAACTGATTCGTGTCAGACGGTGTGTCAGTAACCAATCAATTAGGACACACGAAAAATAATGACAATGTTTTTATCGACTTGAACTGACTACCCTTCGCACTTTACCTTCACACACAATCCTCAGTTCATCCAGTCAAACATACACTTGGAAGTACTGAACTCCAGTTTCGTTCTTATTAGAGCATCAGTAGTTCATATCCACCGTTCCGTTCGGGGTTTGAACTCCGGACCCATCGCATGGAAGGCGTGTGCATTACCACTGTGTCAACCAGCTCATACCATGGTTGAACCCGATAGCCAATTCATGTTTATTCAATAAATATCAATTATCCCACACAACCACTCACAAATAACTGTGAGGTAAATGTGGACAATCTCTCTGTCTATGTAAATACTGTTAACTGGTTGAAGTTGACAGGAACGGGGGTGTGAATTTTGCATAGGAGACTTCTTGCGGCGGATGGCAGTTAAAATACAATAAAATGACTACGGAGAATGAATAAATAGTGCCACCTCACAATGCTCTGCTCTGTACACAGTTCCTGTGTACATTTGATTAAAACCACTGAAACTCAACCATTCTTGCGAACGTTATAATGTTAATAACAGTGATGTTGGTAGAACATGGTATTCACCGACGTTTAGTTTACTGTGGGCATCCTTTTCAAGGCAGATTGTAAAACCTGCCTTGAGAAGGGTTACCTATGGTAACCGAAACGTCGACGAATACAAATCTCTACCGACATCAGTGTATAATTAGTATTATAACATTCACATTAAGACAACATATGGCGGATCGATTTTGCGATACACTCCTAATATCATTAGGTCCCGGTATTTTAAACATGATCAACAATTCTTGCTTGTTCAAAACAGCAGTGAAATTGAGAAAGAACGCGGAAACGGGAACACACCGCTGCTGACAGAGTTTTATCCTGTATCGGTCAGAACGACACAGAGATACCGAGAACAGATGGGCTGATGCACACAGTTCCTCATTTGCGCTCCACCAACCTCGCAAAATTCTGTTCCAATCTCGAAAACAAACAACAACGTGGGACTTACCTAATTCTGTATAGATTACCCACTCGACTGTGACTGTTTTTGTTAAACACGATGCACAACGGATCCCATCAACCTCGGCATTTCTCGCCTAGTTTGCACACCCTTCTGTTTTTTTTTTGGGGGGGGGGCGGGGGCCTTGTGTATTTTCTCGTTCATCATCAGGTCTCCTCCACGGGGAACGAACCTTACCCCACATATATCCAGATTGGTTTTTTTTTGTTGCGATTGGCGCATCTTAAGACGATTTCGGCTACCAGGCTTAAATACCTCTTACTAGTTGAGAGCGACAATCACGTTGGGTTATGCAGACTCGGTTTTCACACACCGCCTCGCTCCGTTGATGGTCAGGTTTTGTTTAGACGAAGGCTTCAGTTACGAACTCCATAAGAAAATAAATCTGCTTTGGCCTGGACAAACTAGCAGTATTCCACTCACAAGTAAATCATGGAACGCTTTTCTTGTCATAGAGATTATTGTATCGTGAATTGTTTGGCACAAAATGTCTGGCCCGCAGACGTGTGTGAAATACGATTGTAAATACCAGTTCATCATCACTTCTCAATCATAAATTGACGTAAACCTACTGTCCTGACTGATAGTGATTCAATCAATAAAGTCATTTGTTTAGTTCATCGTTGGAAAGTTGTTTGATTTTCTCGTTTACTAATGTGGTTTCTATTCCCAAATATTCGAAGGTGTAGTTCCCACTCCTCTTCTGTTCACTCCACCAACCAGCACATATACAGTAGACTTACTCCACAAAAAATATTTAACCGACTTGGGAGCATTTGGTTTTTATCCTGCGAACCACAAACTTACAGAATCAACACTCGCATTCTAGACTTTCTCTTTTTTGCAATCACGTTCTCCAATATGGGATCAACAAATTTATTTGGACAGGACAGATTCAACTCATATTTCATTGTGCTACGACAGGTCCATAATCCATGGGATTCCCCCACCGCCGTCATTCACTAATTAATAATCTATCACAGAATAAAAATACAAACCAAGAGAAATATTTGGGCACTACTCACCCAAACGGTGTGCGAAAACCAGTAGCATTCGTATTCGAAAATGGGTTATGCAAAAAGATCTTTGACTGTTAAATGGGAATGTGTTTTCAAGCTAGAAAAAACAAAACGGATGCAAGGGGAGGAGGGTACGTAGATAGAAAATCGATTTCGACCACCAAGGTTTTTACAGAACTCATCGGTAAGTCTCAATTTGTTGACCAAAGCAAGAACAAATATACTGAACACTTAGAGTAAGCTTGCACGTGTGTGAGCGAATAAGTCGGTTATGAGTGCATGTTGACAGTGAAATGCACATATATATCATGATGTGGAAGATGTTTGATATCAGAAAGAATCTTGTTTGCAAACTTTTCACCGATCTCAACGTGATGAGGATACGTAACAGTGTGATGGTAATGTCAACAGACTATGAACAGTCAGAATTTAGGACAGTTTAATCGTTTTGTAGCGTCTGGCAATCTTTCTTGAGTAAACCAGTGAAGAAAACGGAGCGCAATCAGCTAAAGTGGATCAGATGAACTGATGGGTGTATCAAGGGAACAATGACGAGGTGTTCAGTACCAAAATGTCTGACTCGAATCAGTCGTCGAAGTATTTTAACATAAATTTTGGAAGATCAGACTAAATCAATGCCAACGATGACACCCAGGAACTTGCAGATAAAACGTTTAGGACGGAGGCTAAGCGAATCATCAGGGAGTTATCGTGTTAGTGAGTGAGATAGGGAAACATTCGTAACACTTGAACATCAGCATTCTTGGTGAAGGAAATGTAGCGGTGTTCATTAGAGATTACTCGACAAGTGTTTGTAAAAAAGAGTATTTTGAACTGGATAAAACATAGACTAATGAAGTGGCAAAATGTAGTCAAATAGAGGTACCAATCTAACAATATGATTGAAATGATCATTTCAGTTTGTTTCTAGGGGGAAACCTGGCACAAACTACAGATACGGACTAAACTTAATACACAAATGGTTGAAATATGTGGTATCCTCAATCCCCACATACACACATTTGCACATCAGTGCACGTGTGCATGAATTGGGGCGCAATATGACCGAACTGGTCATTCCGTTTTTGTTTGTGTGTGTAAAGGGGAATCTCGAACGAATCATACCTTTCAACTTCGAGTGAAACCGTTATCACTTCAAGTGAATCAGCAATAACTTCAACTAAACTCCTGCGTAATCACTGCGTTTTCCTGAATATATGTATTTATTTCACTCTGAAGTAATCGGGTTCTAATAAGACGCTTTGTGCACTTTTTACAAATGAATTGGATTGAGATGGGTGATTTTTTTCGCAAGGTTCATTAAAACTCAGGCTCGATGTGTTCAGACGGACAGAAACGGTTTTATCATCGTCCGTTTAATCCATCTTGCAAAGACTGACTTGTTTTCAATGGCAGAGATGCGTACGTAATCATATTTGATTTAAAGGAATCGGCGTTATTCGAGGGAATCACGACCCCAACGGAATTTATTCGCTTGGCTATTGAGGGCCTAGACTGAACCCAATTATGCAATGAATCATGCCTACATTCACGCCGGATTCGATCTTGCTTGTCTAAAGCTCACTCGATCAACGGTCAAGGACATAATTTTCCTCAGTGGTGATAGTGGCGGGGGGAGACG